TTTTTTTTTTTTATTAAAAAATTATTTTAAAAAAAATCTTCATTTATAAAAAACTTGAAAAACCGTGAGTGCAATTTAAAAAAAATTTTTTTTTGTTCTTATTTAATTATTGAAAAAAAAAAAATCAAAAAATTAAAAACTTCGGCTAACTTTATTATTATAAATTTTATTATTATGATAATTATTAATAGAATAATAAAAGTGATGTAACAATAGATAAATAATGAAAGACTTGAATAGTAAATAATAAACAAACCAGAATTGTTCCATCTCAGCATCAGTAACAAGAGGATCATTAGTTTCGATATCGTTTTTATTACCACATAAAAATATTTTAGCGTTTTCAGCGTAAGTGACTATATCAAGTAAATGTTGCGATAAAAGATGAAATGAGGTTGCATTGTCAAGGGCGAATACTAGAATAGCAGCTTCTGCGAATTTATAATAACTTGAGGTAACAGATGCAACTCTTTCCATGCCTCCCGTGTCCCATAATTGGAGCTGAAAAATATTATTTATAATATTAATAATAATTTATGCTAATTGATGAATTCATACTTGTAATATTAAATTGAATTGATAAAATAAAATATAAATTACTTTGATACGTCGATCGTCGACAATATACTCTTTGTCAATATTATCAAGTCCAAGAGTGGATTTTCTGTCAGTACTTGTCACAAAACTGTTGTTAGCGAACCTTCGAAAAATAGAAGTTTTTCCCACACCATATTCCCCACACAGAATAACCTTTTGCTCAGTTACTTTAACAGTTGCCATTTTATTTATTTAACTATTTAAAATTTAATTAAATAATTCATTTATAATTACTCATAACTGGTGTTTTAAAAACTCCCGATTATTTAGAAAATTTTATAAAAAAAACATTTTTAACGCCTGTCAATGTTTTTTATTTAAATTTTTTATTGATTGTTTACATTTAACTCCGATTTGTTTTTTATTATTATTTCTCTGGTCTTCTCTTTCGATGTTCTATGACACTATCGTTATTATCATTTCCTGTAATTGGTAATTTGTATTTAAAAAATATGAAATATAATTTGAACTTTTTCACATAGCTACTGAGGAAATAATTAAAAAAAAATTATTGTGTGGAAAATACGAAAATAATTAATAAGTTTTGTTAAAATTATTTGTTAGAGATATTTAAAATCCGTCCGCTGATAATTACTACTTAGATCATAACTGAGTATCTCGGAAACGCTGTAGCTAATAAATAGTAGCGCTAAAATGTTTATGTAACTTTATGAATATAAAATTTTTAGTTTTTTTAATTTTGATGATAAATATATAATAATAAAGTTAGCCGACAATTTTAATTTTTTTAATTTGCTTAATTTATTAATTTATAACTAGAAAATATTTTTTAAAAATTGCACTTATAGTTTTTAAAGTTTTTAACAAATGAAAAAAAATTTTTTTTTATTTTTTTGTAATAATTCTTTGATAAAAAAAATCATATTAATTTTTAGATGTCGGCTAACTTTATTTAGCAAATTTGAATAATTTTAGAAGAACTTTTACAGTCTTCCATGTGAATTTTTTTTGTAATGTAGAAAATTGTAAGAATTTAACAAAAAATAGTTTCCGTAAAACTCGCGCAAAATTTACTTTTACAAAAATTTGTATAGAATAAATAAAAATTAAGTTGGCCGACATTTAAAAATTTTTTTTAATAAAAAAATTATTATAAAATAATAAAAAAAAGTTTTATATGCAAAAATATTGAAAAACTATGAGTGCAATTTTTAAAAAATATTTTTTAGTTATAATTTAATAAATGAAAAGAAATCAAAAAATTAAAAACGTCAGCTAACTCTAGTATTAAATAGAAAAAATGTATTATTCACAAAAATGTATGTTTTTCTTGCTAAAATGTACTTGTTGAAAAAAATAATCAAAATTATCAGATATCTCGCAATTTCAGTATAATTTCAAAATAATATCCAAATTTTTTGTCATGTCGATGTTTTTGAACAAACTACTTCTTTATTCCCGAAAAAAATTTCTTTTTATAAAAATGGGCTTCTTTATTTGAATGAGATCACAGTTTAAATATAAAAAAAAAAAAAAAAAACCGGTCTTTATAGAAAAACTTTACATTTTTTTACATTTATATGATTTCTTTAAGATTTTCTTTCAATAAAATTTCTTACAAAAAATTCTACAAATTTATATACGTTTTGTCAATTAAAAATATCATAAATTTTTCAAATAATTTTTTTTTTATAAATTTCAATTATTAGATCTTTATTGATCAATTTCAAATTTTATAATAATTAATCAATACTCTGAAAATGATAATTTTGATTTACTAAGTATAAAATTCATGGACTAATTATATGTGATTAATAATTAAACGTTTTATTTGAGTTATTGTGCAAAATTGATTTTTGCAATTAATTAATCAATGTCTCTTGATAAATAGACACTTGAAATGAATTGAAAATGCCAATTTATTCTTAAAAATTTTAATAAAATATTAATATGTAGTTTTTTGTAAAGTAGAAGGAAGCTCCCTCGAGTAAAATTAAGAAAGTCTTTTCTATTTCGCATTACTAATTTTATAAAAAACAAAAGTAAAAATGATGAAATCATTTATTTCACTCATACCATCGTCAGACAAAGTACCTGCGTCTAAAATTGAAGCTTCCGAGTCCATCAATAATAAAATAAACGAAAATCTTCTATTCGTTTTGACATCGCTGATCGGTCTGTGCCTTCTGCGGGTTAGTTTTGCTGTTATACTAATTATCATAGTTCTTGTGTACATGTTGTACATAAACTCAATTAGTTTGGCGACAACATTGATAAAAAATTCGTCATTTTCATGTTTGTTTGGCGGCGACGATGAAGAAAATGAAAACGATGCTGATGATGATATGGATACTGATACGAATGATGAACAATCCGAAAAAGATACTGAAGAAATTCCTAAAAAGAAAAAGAAAACCATTGAAATTGAGAAATAATTTTCCTTCTGCTAACTTTAAATAAAAAAAAAATTATTAAACTTTATTTTATTAAAAAAATATGCAATCACAGTTATGACATTAATTTAATAAAAACCTTTGAAAAAATTTTGGAATAATTTATATTTTTGATTAAAAGAAATCTCAATTTTAAATTATTTTTTTTTTTCAATCAATAAGTACCAGAAATATTTGTAAATTAAAATTTTTATAAATTATTTAATAAATAATATAAATGAAACCTTACTTTAGAAATTAATTATTGACAAAAAAAATGATACTAAAATTAGAAGACAATTTTTGATTTTTTGAATCAATAAAAATTATAAGTAAAAAAATATTTTTTAAAAATTGCACTTAAAATTTTTTTAATTTTATCCATGTCAAATTTTTTCTTTTAATTTTATTTAAAATAATTTTTCAATAAAAAAATTCTAAAATTTTTCCGATGTCGGCTAATTTAATTTTCATACAAAAGAAAAGTAAACAAAAACAATTTTTACCGCAGAAAAAAAAGGTAGATAATTAAATTACCTTTTCTCGTTTTAATTTAAATGTTTATTGCAATTAAATTTTAAACAAAAATAATTATATTAACTCCTTTCAAATATTCTCTGAAGTTTAAATTAATTATCTGAAATACCACTCCGAAAATTTTCCTTCCATATTTAAAATTTTTTTTAACCGATTGTAACCATTCGTTTAAATTATAAATAATAATAATAATAATTATTATTATTATTGTTATTATCGAAATAAAGAAAACATATTTTAATAATTATTATAAATAATAATAATTATTACCAATAAAATATATTTCGAGGAACAGTCAAAAAATATACAAGTGTACATCTGTGAAAGTAGGGATAGCTGCTGCGCTGCGCGCGCACCACAATGAAGGGCGCGCGCATCATAGAAGGCGTGCGCACTGAAGACGGGACAGGAAGCGCTAGTGGTGCGGACGCGCGGGAAGAAATGCCTATAAAAGCGGGGCCCGGAGCTTCGGACGTCATTCAGTGTTCAACTATCCTAGCGAGTGGAGTACGTGAGCTAGTAAAGTTACATAGAATCATTATATCCTTGGGGATATTCTTTAGCAGCAGTAGTGGTGATTCAGTGTCCAGCTACAATAGCAAGTGGAATACATGAGCTATTGAGTGGCACAGGATCATCTTCTTCATAAGTATTTACAGCCGTCGTGTGAACGGTGCAGTCAAAGAGGTCGATCAGCAGTGATTCGGTGCCCAACTACAATAGCAAGTGGAATACATGAGCTATTGAGTTGCACGGGATCATCTGCGGAGACATTTACAGCCGTCGTGTGAACGGTGTAGCCAAAGAGGCTCAGCAGAGATCCACACAGCCGTCGTGTGAACGGTGATACCAAGGAGACAAGCAGAGAAAGAAGCAGCCTTCAGCAGAGTAAATTAGAGTATAAGAATAGGGACCTAGCGACTCGTCGACTCCTGGTCAGTTGCACTGGCGTTAACAGTAAAGACGACTCGTAGACGCTTTGAGGTAACCGAGGCCGTGTTCTCGTATGTAAAATAAAATTGTAATACGATCGAGCACCGCTGCCGGGACCACGAGCTCCTCGCATTCCCTGTAGACCTTTGCTAAGGAAATACAGGTTGAGTCGGAGCCGTTAGCTTGTAGTAATCAATTAGAACGAGGAAATAAATATAGAAATATATTTGTATTTGAGATTATTATAAATGTTGATAAAGATTACTGTTCGCTCCAGAAATAAATTTTATTAATTTAATTTTAACGAGAACTGTATCCTAATAACCTGTCCGAATCCTGGAATCCGACGAGCTACTCCGAATTTACCTCATTATACCAAAGTACTCGTTACACGATGGGCAAGCGCTAAAAGAAAGGCGCGTTTTTACTTGTCGGTTGTTCATGTTGATACTTATTGTTAGCTACGTCATGTTTTATTATTATTGTGACGGTTGACCTATAAATACTTGATACACAAAATATGGGCGCTAGTATTCCAAAACACGCTGCGCACGTGGTTACATCTAACTACTATTTTTTTTACTTGTTTTTATAAGTTAAATTTAAAAAAAGTTAGATTTATTAAATAAAAAACATTCCAAAAAAATTATCTAACAATTTGGTAAATATTTTTAAATAAACTAATTTCATTTTAAAAAAATCCACTTGCAAGTTAAACAACTAAAAAAGTGTAATTTACAATATTCATAAAATTGGTGTAACGAATTTTAAGAACTATCTATGAAAAAAAAAAATTTTTTTATTATTTGTTTACATATCACCAAAAAAATTTCCATTGTCTACTAATAGTATTATTGAGAAATTTTGATTGGCAAGAAAAAAAAATATAATAAGTAATTAATTTATGTCACATTAGTATAAAATTTTAATACGTATGAGATTAATTTAATTGATAGTAACATGTCGTTTTACATTATGAATAGTAAATTGTCCGTAAACATCGTAGTGATTTTAAAGCTATGACGCAGAAGCCGGTAATTCCAAAGTGTGACTATATTCTACCATCTGTCGGAGCAAGTGAGACAGATAATTATTTTGAACGCCATAAAATTTCGGGTAATTCCGAGTATAAACGTAGCCAATCTTATGAACATAAACTATAGATGAAAAATAATGTCAAAATTTACTTATTGATAATGATAATGATTGATGACTAATGAATTAATTCAAATTGTCACCAGGTAATCATTAATTGTGTCTTCCAGCCATATCAGTTATACAGAACTATAAAAGTCTATTAAAAATAAATGTACAAAATTATCTTGATTTTAGTCTCATCAATAGTTACTAAAACGGTAAAATAATTTTTATAATTATAGTTTATAAAATAATAAAAACTCAATTCTTTGCTTTAGAAATCCTGAATCGATTTGACAGTAGTCCAAACATGGAAGTGGAACAATTAAACGTCTTAACTTACCAACAAATCCGGGAAAAAATAATGAAAGAATCCATGGACGTCAATACTAGATATCCAAGAGCTGAAGATCCGTCAGTTCTACAGTTGGCCATCATAAAACAAGACGCCGAGTTAATCGATTATCTTTTGAAAAACAATGCTGATGTGAATATCATCTCAGAATCCTGTGAACCCGCACTGAACCTAGCCATTCGTGCAAACGATCCAGAGTTGGTGAAGAAAATCATTCCTTTGGTTGCCGATCTGAATTTAAAGTCGTATTATTATGGCGAAGACTATGAGAAATGACCGAAAGACATCGACGAGAAAATGTTTAAGATAGATCAAAAGTTTTTTGCACAACATGGTAAATTTTTAAGAGGACCACCGAAACCAAAAGGAACGGCTCTTGAATTGGCGATAACAGTTGGAAACATGGAAATTATCAAGATGTTACTGGATGCAGGTGCTTCTATTGATCCTCCTAATGGTCTCAGGCCTCTGCATTGGTCTATTGCTTTAAATAAATACGATATTGTCGAGTATCTGATAAAACGCGGTGCAGACATCAATGCTTTTTCTGATGACAAAAATCCAGTACATGTTGCTGCTGAAAAAGGGCACAAAGAAATCCTTGATTTGCTTATTCGTCATAAAGCGAATATTGACGGTGATTTTATTTATGATGCTATACAAAATCACCACTTTGAAACTGTAAAGATTTTGTTAGATGCAGGAGCAGAATTAAATCCAGTGGAAATGTGTTCTCCACACTATTTGCGGCTGTTATTGCAGGAAATTGTGAGTTTGCAGAATATCTAATCAATCGTGGTGCAGATATTGACATTCAACGCGGCGGAACGACTGCAGTTTACTTGGCTGTTATGCAGGGAAACCAGGAAATGTTGGAGCTGCTGATAAAGTACAATGCAAACCTTGATATAAGCTCTCCAACGGGGTTGCTGATTCATTCGGCTATAACTCGCAACGATCTTAATTTTGTTAAGATTCTTCTGAAAGCTGGTGCTGATCTTGAAGCTCCAACTAGTCTTGGTTCAGTCTCAAAATTTGCGCTCTCTCGTAGAAATATTAATGTTTTTGATTTCTTTTTGGATATCGGAGCTGATTTCAAGAACGACAGTTATCTCGATTTGATCAACGCTGATGGATTATGTTCTGAAGAAATCAAGACTAAGATTAAACATCACTTTGTCAAGTTGAAGGCTGCTAATTTTTTTGTCGCCCCCAAAAATCTTCAGTTTATTGAAGATGAGTCGTTCAATGACTTTCACAATAAATGTTACTCAGAAGTTGAGTTGATGAAGAACGCTAAAATCGATGGGACCAGCATCAGTTTCTACGACGTTTTGCATAAGAGCAAGCAAGAACTGGCCGCTGATCTGCAGAATGTTGGCGGAAATGTTGGCGTCACTGAGTCAGAATTGCGGGAAAAGTTTCCGTTGTACGGAGGATGGATTTGCTACCGGTTGGAATACGAGCAAAAGAAAAACTTGATCGGAAATTCTAATGATCATTAAAATTTACTATTTAAATTCATTATTTTTGTATAAAACTCAATTTATAATCAATCAAGAATATTTTTTAAATTGTATTTTTAGATATCTATCTTAATAAATAAGTTTAATATTTGAAACGATGGAAGATTCAGCAACACGCCATTTTTTTAATTTAAAAATTTTTTTTGTAAATAATACTTACTATTGAAGTGATATAATGGTACGAGGTCAATTGATCCGCAGACAATTGATCCGACGACAATTGAACCGCACGACAATTTGTCCGACAAAAATTGATCTGACGACGATTGATCCAAAAGCGATTAATATGATGATTATTTAAAAATACACGACAATTGATCTTGAATACAAATGCTTGTAATCGTGTTGTGCTCATTTAACAAGATTTGTATGTGTATTTATTCGTAAATTGACCAATACACATGCTTGTAATCGTGTTTGCTCATTTAACAAGATTTGTATGTGTCGTTCAATTGACATTCGGATCAATTGTCGTCGGATCAGTTGTCGTAAGAATGAATTGTCGTTAGATCAGTTGTCGCGGATTAATTGTCGTCGGATCAACGGTCGCGTCACCGATATAATACATCTAAAAAGTTTAAAAACTATTTTTCATTATTTTTATTGAGAAAAAAATTCACCAAAACTCAAAAATTTCATGGGCTCTAGACCACCGAGTCCCCATAGAAGAAATGATATTACTTATATTGACAGTAATTAAAAGACAATAATTGTTTTACATCTATTGTTCACAGAAATCAATATGAATGATGTCAAATTTATATTTGCAATTAATTTATAAATGTCTGATGGTCAATAAAGACTTGAAATCAATTGGCATTTTCAATTAGCTGTAAAAGATTTGAACAAAATACTAATACGAACTTTTCCTGTAGGTAGAAGGAAACTCCGTGCAATATAAAAAGACTAACTCACATTCCGAATTAAAAATAATTAAGAATGATGAAATCATTGCTCTCATTAATTCCATCATCGGACAAAAAATCTGACAAAGAGCCGAAAAATTCCAACGAAAAAGTTAATGAAAATCTTCTGTTCGTTCTGGTATCACTAGTCGGTTTATGTCTTCTTCGCGTTGATTTCATAGTGATCCTTATTATCGTAATTCTCATGTACATGTTGTATATAAACGGCGTAGCTTTGGCAACCTCATTCGTCATGAATTCGTCGTACGCATTCTTGCTCGGTGGCGATGATCAAGACGAAAATAACGATGAGAATAGTGATAATGAAGATGATATTTCCGCTTCTGAGGTTGTAGAAATCGCGAGAAAGAAAAAGAAAATCGCGAAAAACGATGAATAATTTTCTATTTTATTTCATCTTATATTAGAAGAGAAAAAAATTAGATTCAAAGTAATTTGTTTTAAAATTTAACGCCTTATATTAGTTAAGAAGAAAATTCGTCGCATTCAAGTCAACAAAAAAGACTAATTAATTCATAAAAGAGTAAAACAAAGTAATTACACGATGACTATTGGTATTAAAGCATTCAAAAAAGAATTATTACGCAATAATTACTTGAAGAAGTACAAAAAAGAACAACCGGAAAAATACGATAAAATAATAGAAGTAGTAAATGCCTATGAAAAAGATACTGTTCGTAATTACAATGATATTGCAACATGCGTAGAAAAAATTAGTAAAGTACTTGGTTTGAGTCAGTTGGAAAAAACAATTATGATTAAATATATTAAAAATAGAATATTAAAATACAAAGCTCCTGCTAAAAAAGAAAAATAATTTTATACAGAATGATTACAAATAAATAAAATTATATTATAATACAATCTATAAAATATGAATTGAATAAAAAAGAAAATTGAGATATTTTGTGATCTGATTGCAATTGAAAAAAAATTTTTTTTTTTTTTTTTTTTCATTTGTATCTTATATTACAATTAGCCATTACAAAAAAAAAGACTCCGAGGTAATTGATTATCTTTTAAACAATAATGCTGATGTAAATATCGTCTCAAATTCTTGTGAGTCCACACTTAACCTGGCTATCCGAGCAAACAATCAAGAACTGATTAAAAAAATCATCCCTCGGGTTGTTAATCTGAATGTCAAGCCGTATGTTTTGGCAAAGAGTATGAGAAATGTGTTCCATCAATTGTGAATTAGAGTTAACTAAGCAGGACGAATGGGTAGATTCTAAAATTTTGCGTACTAAAAATATTCCCATAAAAGGCTTCAAAATTTCAGCATATATCAATTACCGGTCTACTCATATGAATGTAAAAATAAGTAAAAGTGACCGCGGAGTTGTAGCTGCCATTGCTGAAATGACGATCTCCGATATGCCGTCTATACTTCGTGACATCACGGGATGGAGAGACACGTATCATTTCAATGAGCTTCCACTAGCTATTCATTTGGATAAATGTCCAAAAAAAGATACGCACTGTGATCCATCTAGCTTAAGTGAGCATAAGTATAGTATTAAAATTAACTGCTCAATAACGTGGTTTGGCTTTATTTCTGACGATAATCCTAATCCAAGTACTCTCTTCAAAGACCGCCTGAGAAAATTCTGGCTTAAGGAAACCTGGGATATAATTTTAAAAGTCGGTGAATATAAAATTCATGCATATAAAATGATGTTAGTGGAAGAAAGTAAAGTTTATCTGATGAAATCGATGTTATTAAAGAAATGTTACTATTCTTATATTCTAGAAAACTTTTTAAAGCATCTACAAATGAAGAATTAGCAGTGAGACTTTTTAAAACTGCTCATAAATATGAATTTTTAGAATTAATAGATGCATGCGCACTAATTTTAAGTAATAAACTAACTCTTGATAATGTGTTAATGATGATAAATATAGGAACTCTTTACAATTCATCATTATTGAGAGAAAGAGCTATCACATTTCTGAAGAATCATAAGTTAGAAATATTAAATTCAAATGATATTTTAATTTAATTAACACTTCAATATAATGTTGTATGGAAAAAAAAGTTTAATAAATTTTTATAACAGAAATGAAGACTTAAATTACTTTATATAAATCCACGCTGCATGAATGTAAATGCCCTTACATTCACGTGGCGTGGATTTATCAGGACTTTTTTGAGTGTGAATAGACACGTCCCTCTTTTAATTATCTTAAATAATAAATAATATAAGTATTTGCATGAAATATATATCATAAGTTTGGTGACACGACAAAATCTCCCCGGAGAAAATCTCCTTTCTAAATTCTAATTTTAAATTATAATATTATTATTCCTGACAGTTGTGATGGTCTATTTCGTATAAATTTATATATTATATAGTATAATATATATATTAATGTACACAAAAACCATGATAAGAAGGCACAACGAGATTTTAATGCGTATTGATGTGTATTAATGCTTAAATATGTTTTTGTTTCTTTTTAATTATAAAAATATATTTATATTTAAGAAAAAATGTATAAAGACTAATAATATTTTTTTGTATTGAATTAATCTTTCATTTTGTAAATGCTTTTCGCGTTGCAGTATATCAAATAAGCATGCTTATTGATAGTGATAGTGTGTCATAAACTTATGGATTCCTTATTTGATATACTGCAACTCGAAAAGCATTTACAAAATGAAAGATTAATTCAATGCAAAAAAATACTATTAGTCTTTAGAGATTTTTTATTAAATATAAGTATATTTTTCTAATTAAAAAGAAATAAAAACATATTTAAATTAATACTATCAAAAGTATTGAACAATACAATTAATTTAAACTGCAAATATTTTGTTAAAAAAAATTACTCTCTTAGTTGAAAATATAAATTTTTAATCGAGTTTGTAATGAGAAAAAAAAAACTATCTTAAACTATCTAAAAAAAACTATTTTACCAACTTTTACTTTTTTACCCTGACAACTTTATCCGAGACTTTGGATTTAGCTTTGTACGTATGTACAATTTTCTTATCTTACTTGTTCCAGTTAGTAATATTAAATTAAGCAACTTATTAATTAAAAAATTTTTTAGGAGAGTTATTTAATATTTGATAAACCACTGAGCCAAAATTTACAATTTAAATTCGTTATTTTTGTATACAGGATCTGATTGCAATTAAAAAAAATTTTTTTTTCATTATCCTATCTACACAATCTGATTAATTACTATAGCTAAAATAGAATTAAATAAATTTTATGACTTAAAAATGTATTTATTAAAAATTTCAGATTAATATACTCCAATATACAACCAAGCAATCGATATAAATACATACACTTATATATATATATATATATATAGTATAGTACATTTATAAATTTATTTATTAATTATATTAAATATAACTCAGTTTTCACATTTGTCACTGATGTATTAGTAACTGATGATGCCTGAGGATTAATAATAGATCATTAATTACAAAAATGATTAGCCACGATTGAAAACAGATTAATTGATGAATCAAAAATACCACCAGTTAAATTTCCGAGGGTTTTATTCTTAAAATAACGGGAACGCTGGTACAAGGCAAAATAGCAAGCTCAGTAACAACAGCAGTAACAAGATCGGCAGGAGTAACGTCGTACATAATATTTAACAAATTCAATGTTTTTTTAGCTCGCCAGTTAGCTAACGCAGACTTTTTATTGCTGCCGATAATATTTGACTGCAATTCGTCTGCATCACCGATTTCATTGTAAACAATCGAGTCTGTTTGTACGCGCTCACAACTTTTGTGCGTTTCGCAGGCCACTAAAACAGGAACATTAAACGCTTTAGCCATCAAAGCAACTTGTGCGGTTCCTGCGCGTGACATTACGGCTCCGTTGGCTAATATTGCATGAGCTCCAAGGAATACTTTGTTTACCTACAAAAAAAAAAAGTTCATTACATTAATTATCAATTCAATTTTTTTATACTAACAAAAATTTTTTTAATCCACGGTAAAAATTGCTTGAAATAAATTTTTCGTTAAATAATTTATATGAAATACTTACGCCGGGCATTATAAAACTAAGAGCATTAATTAATATGTAAGAACATTCAACTCCATGTTTAGCAAGTCTTCTTAGCAATTCTCTGCCTTCAAGCCAAGGTCTTCCATCAGCAATTATCACCCGAAATTGGAGACCAGCATCATAGGCATCACACAGAATTTTTTGAATCAACGATGAGCTGAAATTTAATTATTTTATTTATTAATAATTGACGATTGTAAAGCCAGACACAATCTAGCATTAATGATTGCTCGGAATCTAATTAAGCTGAAAAATTCCAATTGGAGCAACTAATTAATAACAATGGAGCCCTAAATTTAATATTACAAATGATGATACTGAAGTTGAAAGATATCTGATAATTTTTAGAATTTTTTCAACAAAAAAATTAGAGCAAGAAATATTTATTTAAAAAATTCTAGCTTTTCAAGCTATAAAAAATCATAAATGCAATTTATCTAAAAATAATTTTCTAGACTTAATTTATTTAATAAAAAAAAAAAAAAATTATCAGGTGTCTGTTACTTTCAGTGTTATTACAATTAAATTTTGTTGCTTGAATAATGATAGAGGTACTGATAGTCAAAACTGGACAAGTTAATGTCAGCTTTACAAACGTTGATACTAACCGCTAGTCGAAATTCAAAATAAATTAATCAGTAAAATGAAAATAAGCAATGAATCGTTGATACCTTTAAAAATGAAAGATACTTTTGTTGTTAATGCTATTTTATATTATTACAATGATTGTAAAATATTGTACTCTGAAAGGATACTTAATATTCGTGATAGGCAGTTAATTTTACCTGAAGTTAAGAAGATTATTAACACCATAAATGCTTACTATGTAGCAATTAAATGTTATAATAAATTACCTAATGAGTTGAAAACACTGAATGTATCTAAGAAGGCTTTAAGAAGAAAAATTTGCAAATTTGTTAGAAATTTCAATTGTTAGAAACTTATGGATTGATTTACTTTTTTGAGATGACTGTATAGCAATTTTTGTTATGGAATTTGTAATTTTGTGTTTTTTTTTTTTTTTTTTTCTATTGAAATTTTCATGATTTGAAAAAAGTATCCGTAATTTTTGTATTTTCTTTTTTTTTTCTGGTTTCTATGCGCAGGTGTAATGCACCTCTATAGAATGTATACCGAGAAGTAAATAAATAAAATAAATATATTTTTCAATTGGAGAAAAAAAAAATACTTACTATCCATAAGTTAAAATAACATCGCCGTTAGAAATTTTGGTCCGTATCGTCATCGAAATAGCTTCATCTGCCAGCATTATTTGTTCTTGAATATAAGTATCGATTGCACTGGCCAATTTACTTTTCGCCTAAAAACAAAAAGACATTAATTAAATCCCAACATAACTCATGCATTAAATAAAAAAAAGCAAAATACCGTATCATCAGAAAGATTCCTCGACAACTGATTCATCTTCCACTTGATATGCTTCAAAGCATTCTGCATCGAAACAGCCAGCGGTCTGCAGTAATGTAAGTACGCCATAGACTCCTGAAAAGCGCTCTCCAACCCCCGAGTGAAATCAGCCTGACTCGGTCTCTCGTAGTCGCAAATTAGTTGCTTAAGCGCCGACAAAAAGGCAACGCACCTCGCGTTGCTGCCTACAATAACTTTGTCTTTGTACTGGACCCCAAGTCTGATAATCGCTGGATGTAAGTGAGAGTTAACCACCGGCACATCAACATGACACTGCTCCCTTGCATGATACAAGTGCTTAAACAAACTCATCTCATGATTAATCACCCCAGAGCCCGTTACCTTTTTCACAACTTTCTTCACGACCTCTTCTTCCTTGGTTCTCGCAACAGGAATCGCTTCACCAGCTTCTACTTTTTTACCCTGAGTATCAACTTTATCCGAGACTTTGGATTTTACCTTCTGACTCTTTTCCAATTCTTTAGCTGCGCGTTGCGCTTCTTGTTTAGCGCGTCTTTCAGCGCGTAACTCTGATTTACTCTTAACAGTTTTTTCATTGTCAACATTGCTATCATTTGTAACAGAATCTGAAACTGAAGCTAAAGTTTCTTTTCTGCTTCCTTTTAACTCACTCTTACGCTCGTCAATTATCATATTCTTCACTTGGTCGTTCAACGACTCAATATCAGTCGGCATCGTTTTTAAAGAATGACTAAAATCGGTAGTGTCTGTTGTTAATTCATCTTGCTTATCACTGATAGATAAGGACCCATCACTCACACTTGCTTTGTTTTTATCATCGCTACCATCACCTTTGCTTTTTTTACCTTTGGAAGCAGCTTTAGCCAATTTTTTAGCTTCTCTCTCGGCTTTTATCTGCTCCCGTGTCTTACTTGTCTCGTTATTCATTTTATTAACTGTTATTTTATTATCAATATTGTCTATTTCATTCGTAATATTATTTTTGTCCTCATGAACGTTCATACTCACCAGGAAAACATCATTGACTTGCTCATTTTTATCAGACAATGAATCATCAACATTAATACTTTTGTTATCACTATTAGCGTTTATTATCAAAATATTATTGTAATTTTTTTGACTATCTATTTGTATTAGCTCTAAATTTTTTTTATTTTCCAACTCGTCGCTGTTATCTTTTTTACTTTTTCTGCGCAAACGGCGCGCTTTTGATTTTGTTAAATTGTTAGAAATTAAAGTTTCACCCTCCAGAGATTCTATTTCTGGCTGTGGTGATTTTAATGCTGAATTATTTTTATCGACGAGCTCTATAGTTATGTTTTTTTTCAGAGCTTCTTTCCGCGCTATTAGCAAACGTTTGCGACGGAGATGGCGAGCATGAGATCGTGTTAATTTAGGCTTTTTCTCGTTGATCAACTAAAAAATAAATTTTAGTTATTAGTTATTTATTTTTGTAATCTAGTTATTAGTTAGTGTATGTATTTTTTAAAATGACAGTACAGTAAAATTTTTTATTAATGAAGAAATGAAATTTTTAATTATATAAAAAAAAAATTAAGTACTAAATTGAATGAAAATATTTTTTATTAAAAAAATTATTAAAAAAAATTTAGAAAGTTTGAAAAATTATAAGTGTAATTTTTTTCAACTATTTTTTTGGCTTTAATTTTTTAAAAAAAAGAAAAATAGCTGTACTGTTATTTCTGAAATTAAAAAAAAAATAAATTTTTGAACAATTAATAAAACCAATTGTAATTATATAAAAAAAAAAAGAAAATATAAATTGAAAGTTTGTAATTAAATAACTGTTAATTTAATAAAAAATGATACATGCTGGATTAAAAAAAAAAAAATTAAAAATGAATGAAAAAATGAAAGGTCAAAAATACTGAAATTTTTCAGAGATTTAGTACCTTATCAGCCATTCCCACACGAGTATCAGCGATAAGATCCTATTATAAAAATTATCCATTTAATAAAAATACAAATATCAAATAATTATTAATTATTAATAGCATCGTCGATAATGCGAATTTTTTTTTTTTTCAGGAGATTCACAATATATATTTTATAATTATAGCTGTGTAAAAATATTTCAATGTTAAATAGGTTAGAAAAACTTTCATTTTATTTTTCTTTCAAGAAAATAGTTCATTAAATATTTACCAACTCCAAAAAATAATTATTTTGAGTAATTACCTGATTTAGAATTTATTTGCTCTTTTTGTAGTTAACGATTTATTAAAAAATTCTTTTAGTATTTCTGATGCTATGTTGGACTACTCGAAAACTTTTGCTTACATTACAACATATTCCGCAAACATATGGATGTATAACCTATATATATATATATACAGTGTGTAAAATATATATCTATGTATAGTGTGTAAGAACGCCCCCTTATATTATTATTTAAATAATTACCAAGTAGTCAAAAAATTTTTTTTATAATTATAAAAATTCTCACGTGTATAAAAAATAAAATTTTTATAAAAATTTTCCATATTTTTTTTTTTTATAATTTATATTAAATAAATTTGTGAAAAGTTGTCAGATTTTAGTATGATGACATCTAAGAATAATTGTGTAATAAAAACAATTAATGTATTGTTTAAATTGATTTTAAAAATTAAAATCTTTGATCATGAATTTTTCTAATTTATACTTGATAATTTACATATAAAAATAATTGACAAATGTCTGCTACTTGATGAAACAAAACGCCTCAAATAAAAAATAATTTTTTAATTTTCTTAAACAAATATGAGATAAATAAAAGTTTATCAATAAAATAGTTGAAAAAAATGTCAATTATTGTTTTTCAATTCTTCTAATACCTCCACAATTTTCCAATTAAAATATAATTATAATTAAATGTAAAAACTATTTAAATTAATTAAAAAAAAATAATAGAAATTAAATTTTTATAAACCAGAATAGCAAATAATTATTAATCGATTTCAATGTACTTAATTCTAATTAATTAATATTAATCTTGTAAAAAAGGAGGAATAAAAATAATGAGAAAGATCCACTGTAAATTATGGTTTTTTTTATTTATTTATTTATTTAAACAAAGAATATGAAATTTATTTCTTTTGCGCAGCAGCGGCTTCGTCTTCGCGTTGGTAAGATTGCAAAAGCTCCTGTTTCTTGGCTGCGATTCTCTCAGCACGTCGCTTGCGGGCTTCACGTACCTTGGTACGACGGGCTTCGGCTTGGTCAGAAAGCATCTCCGTACGCGCCTTCTCGGCCTTCTTCTTGTGGATGTACTCCATAAGAACACGCTTGTTCTTGAACACGTTACCCTTAGCCTTCATGTACAGAAGGTGGTACAGATGTCTGTCAATTTTCTTTGTCTCACGGTATTTTTTCAAGAGACGACGGAGTACTCGCATACGTTGGACCCATAATTCCTGGTGACAAAATAATCAACATCAATATTTTAAGCTTTCATTACTTCAATATAAATTTATTTTTTTTTTATTATTTAAGGAAGTACGAGCGCTAGGCGGGGTGGAGATAGTCATCGACTCTAGCGCAGTAACCATATGATTTTTCTCAATATATAGATATACATTTAATATTATCTAATGGCTGCATTTTTTTTTTTCTTTCAATTAATATACTTTAATTAGTCGGGTAAGTGTAAATTTTGAGTTTTAAAAATATTCACCGAAAGTTTTACGAGAAAAATACAGAAATGTATCAGTGTTAAATTGCTCAACTTCAAAGTTAATTATTTATTTAAATAATCGGGCAATTTTTTTCAAATTTTCGGAATTTATTTAGACATATTTAAATTTCATATTAAAAAAAAATCAAGCCTTTCATCAAAAGTTGCCTTGGTGCTCGTACTTCCTTAAAAACCTTTCATCATAATACATTTCATATTTTAATATTGTTATTTAATTATTTAGTTCCTAATAATTTAATTAAAAATACTCGAAAAAAATTTTATAATTTCTATTATTCATTCAGATCAATTTTATATTGAATAAAAAAAAAAAAAAAAACATGAAATAGTATTTAAAAATTAAAGTTTTTTTATGAGTTATAAATCCTCGGTATTATTTATTGTACTCCGAATTAATGAATTAGAAAATTTAATAAAATTTGATAAATAAGTTACCTTTTGTGGTGTACGCGCGTTAGCTGTACCCTTTCTTTTACCAAAACCACAGTGACGACCTTTACGTCTAGCTTCTTGGTTTTTACGTACACGGGCACGGGAGTGTACAGCTACGGGTTTTTTGATGATTAAACCATCCTTGATCAATTTTCGGATGTTTTGGCCTGTAAAACAAAATTATAAAATTATTAATATATAAAAAATAATAATAATTAAAAAAAATTCTGAACAAATAATTCTAGGGAAAAAATTACAAGTCTAAATTATTTTTACAATTGATTAGTTGCAAAATAGTGGATTGATGATTTGAAATAAAAATTTCTAATTTTGTTCAGAAAAGTATAAAAATCTATTTTGTTTCAACTTAAAATCAATCCGCAAAATATTTTTTGAATGCTAAACATTTAAATAGAAAATTAGTTGTAATTTAAATTAATAAAAATGAATTTTCAGCAGAAATAATTAAGTTAAAATGTTCAATATGTTTAAATTAAACTAGAAATAGATGCAAACCCTCAAATATTTATTAGAGTACTTTTTGTTAATAAAAATTACAATTATTGAATCTTAGTTATTAAAAAAAAAAATAAAAAATAAAAAAAAACTTACGGGAGTTGGTATTGGAGATTTCATTTATTTCATTAGGATCCAACCATACCTTCTTTTTACCACATCGCATCACCGATGCGGCGAGACGTTTCTGGAGCTTGAGACTGAAAAAAAAGTAAAGTTAGGTTATAATTTCTTTTTAATTATATTCTCATAAAATAAATGATTCTACGCTTGCACTATCAAAATAAATATTTTCCAAAACTAAAAAAAAAAAACTTAGGCAATTTTCAGATAATAATTCACATATAAGTGGTGAAAAAAAAAATAAATATTTTCTCGGCCATGTGACCGTAAGAAAACAATCACTTAACATGACAATATAATTTTTTTCACGGCAATTGTTGAAAACTTTTTAGTTTTTGACATTAAGAATGACAGCTAAAATGTCTGAGACATTTTTTATGCATCTAATAGTTAATAATTAATTAATTATCAATAAATTAAGCATTACCTCATGATGACCAGACTCTTGGCCCACGGGTTCCAACGAAAAAGAGGTTACCGCAGTGGCAGTAAGAGTACGCTTGATATTCGCGTGGTCAAAATAGTTGTCAATTTTTTTTTTAGACACTTACTTAGTCCAAAAAATTTTTATTAAAAAAATTAAATCTCTTTATTATTATTTTTAATAGTAATTCAAGTACTATTTAATTGTTAATTAATAATTATTATTTAATTATTTAAATTATTATTGACCAATTTCCTGCGGCCATTTTTTAAAAACTGACACCTGCTGCCATCTGTTGAAAAAAAAATCAAACTCTGTTCTACTCATTTGTATTTATTGGCGATAATTGGTAAGTTCAATTGCAAATTGTGCAGTAATCTAGACACTTTGCGCTCATGCAGAGGTTGACGTAAACAAAATACACAAGAAAAAAAATAATTACAACAAGTAATGTCAGTTTCACTTGTCAGTATGACAGAAAAAAAAGAGTGAGACAGCAGATGAATAAATAAGTCCTTGATGTTTGGAGAAATTATACAGCGTTTGCGATTGCTATTGGCGGAACGTCATCAGTCATCAGTCGGCTGGCAACTGTAATGATTGCCAGTACTTTCAAATGTATTTACTGTAAAAACACAGTGAAAGTTTTTATCATTTTTTGTTATTTTTAATTCAGTATTGTTTTAGTACTTAAACTTGTCAGTTGTATTCTTCAACATTGTTTAATTGAAATAATTAATTGCAGATTGTATGTTCGAATTTTACTTCTTATTAATTTAAATTTTGGAGTGCAATATGACAGAAGTGAACAAGGATTTGCAACGCGAGAGAAATAATTGTACTTTTAAGCCAATTGAACTTACGCATCTGCTGGATGGCAATGCGGAGAAAACTGCGATCCGTCATGAGAGAGGTGATTTTTATTTTTTTAATCGCTCAATTGAGAGTCATACTTTTTTTTTTCATGTGAAGTTAAAGTTATAATTTCAATTGACGTTTATTGACGGGTAATTTACAATTTTAATTATCAATTACTCGTACTTCAATTAATGACTAATGTTTTTTTTCTACTAGTTCATTTGAAGTATTTATGAAAATTAATTTAGCAAATAGTTGATATTTTTAAGAATTTTTGTAACAAATAAATTATGGCAAAAAAATATGAAAATTAAGTTAGCCGACAGCTAAAAATTTTTAGAACTTTTTTTTTATTGAAAAAATTATTACAAAAAAAATAAAAAAAATTTTCACTTGTGAAAAACTTGAAAAACTATAAGAGCAATTTTTTAAAAATATTTTTTAGCTCTAATTTAATAAATGAAAAAAAATCAAAAAATTAAAAATGTCAGCTAACTTTAGTATTATCAAAAAAATAAGAAAAAAAATTGACATTTAGAAATTTTAATAAATTAAAAAGGCAATTTTTGTTAAATAAAATTTAAAAATAGTCAAGTGACTGTTAGCTTTAATTTTATATCAATAAAAGTTCATTTTTTAATTCCAATTTTTAGATCGATATTCTTTAATTTTGTTGTGTAAAAATAGAAAGTTTGATTAGTTTTTTTTTTTCTAGCATTTAAACACTAAAAAAAAATTGTTAAAAATTTTTTTTTTTACAATTTTTTTTATATCTATACTCTTTAATTTTGCTGTGTAAAAATAGAAAGTGATTAGCTTCTTTTTTTTTCTGACATTTGATCACTGAAAAAAAATAGTTAACAATTTTTTTTATATCTATACTTCCTAATTTTGCTGTGTAAAAATAAAAAGTTTGATTAGTTTCTTTTTTTTCTGACATTTAAACACTAAAAAAAAATTGTTCACAATTTTTTTTTTACAATTTTTTGAAAATACAAGCAAAAAAAAAAATGAACATACTTAATTGTTTCTTCATAAAATTTTTTATAAAAATTATGCGATGGCCACTTTGAAACAATAAAAAATTTGTTCAAGTATAATGTATCGATAACAGTGTTTTTATTACTGAAATACGACGCCAACATGGTAATCTAATCAAGAATTCTTTGAGACGATAATAAATATTCATATGCGCTCAAATATGTAACAAAGTGTATGTAAAAAATATTATCTTCTGAACTTTCAGGACCTAGTTCACTAGATGTTTCTAACTCAATAGATAAATAATTAAATTGTAATAATTAATAACACTAATCAATGTGTACGATAGCTAAAATATAAAACTTGAACTTATCACCTTCAAACCATTTTGTGTATATAAACAAGGATTTATTCTTCATTAATAATCACTAAATAGTGATTAACGTTTTACTGCTTCTATAAGAAGTTTTATTCCGCGAGAACGGGTTTACTAGTTTTCTGCTCGGGTATTTTTTGTCTCTATTAAGAGTCTAAAGTATTACGTTGAGCAATTTTAAATTATACGCTGTAATTTTTTCACGCATGGTATTTTAATGTTGCTAAGTATTTATAACGGAATAATTTAATTTTTTATTGCCATCAATCATCTTGAATTTACATGTAAAATTTTTTTAAAGTTACGCAAAAAATAATAAAAAATTCAATTATTGAAATTTTTTATTTAACTAAGTTAGAAAAAAAATAGTAACTATATTTTTTATTACAGAGGAATATTTTCTCAGCGATCCAGAATTGAAAGATAAAATTCCAAATAGTTATAAAAGTCACAAAGAACTTTACGAAGATGCCATCAGGAAAGGTTGCGTTGTATTACGCAAAGTTAAACAATTACAAGATCAGGGTAAAGGAGAAATTGATTTGTATACGTGAGTATTTTTCTTCTTTTTAAATAATTAATTAATTCATTTCTGAATTTTCATGAATATTAATTATTATTATCAAAAATAATAGACATGTATTAGGAGGTATGCTGGGAGCAGCGCTTTTTAAAGATGGAAATCCATTAACTCTTCACTATGTGATGTTCATACCGACAATCATGGGACAAGGAACGATTGAACAGCAGGGTTATTGGATTAGTCGTGCATGGACGTGTAGTATAATCGGCACGTATGCACAGGTAAAATTTTTATCGTCAATTATCTATATTATTAAGAGAATGAGCAAAATTTTGTAGCCAGTGTATTTATATGATAAAATGGGTTTTTTTTTTTTGGTTAAATTTGGTATCGTTGGAAAAATCTTGACCTGGAGACAACTATTGACATTTTCAAAGATATAAGCTCATCCCCATGTTACACTTATGAAGACATTTCATTTGAGTACCCACATCAATTTTATATATATTATATATATTGATATATTTCACAAATATCATATATATAAAATATATAAAAAATGCCATGTGGGTACTTAAATGAAAGGTCTCAATGAGTGTAACATCCAAATGAGTTTATATCTTAAAAAATGTCAATTATTAAGAAATTACCTTTTATCTTGTGAAATATTGACATTTTTAAAGATATAAGCTCATTCCGATGTTCCACTCATCAAGACCTTTCGTTTGAGTACCCACATCAATTTTTCATATATTTTAATATATATATATATATTATATATATGTATATATGAAAAATATATCAAAATGCATGTGGGTACTCAAATAAAAGCTCTTGATGAGTGTAACATCGGGATGAGCTTATATCTTTAAAAACGTCAATAGTTAAAAAAGTACAGTGCAATTTAACAAAAGTCATTATTTAATAAAGCAAAATTTTATTTATTTATAGTTCACAAGTCACGGCAGTCACATAGTGACTGCAAGGTTGCTAGTATTAAATATTTTTTCCATTAAACTGTTTAATTTTAATTTCACTTATTTAATTGAATGTTTAATATTTTTTCTTGAAAATTAAAATTATTATATTCCAATAAAAAAATATTTTCATACCTAACAAGATAAGAAAAAATTTTTAAGTACATAGTGAAGCAATAATTACATGCATAATTTTATTGCCTAAAGAAATATTCGCTCAAACCTCATTACTTCAAGCAATCAATAAATCGATTATAAACACTCACTGTGCAATTAAATTTAAATTAAAAATTTATGTCAACCTTGGGACAAATAATAATTGATAACATTAATTAACATAAAAAATTTTTTTAGACTGAATTGGGCCATGGAACATTTATTAGAGGACTAGAAACAACAGCAACTTATGATCCAGATACTTGTGAGTTTATCTTACACAGTCCAACACGTACATCTTATAAATGGTGGCCCGGTGGTCGTAAGTATTAATTATTTTTGACATAAAATATAAATGAAAATTGATAACAAATAATTTTTTTTTCTATTAGTTGGTCACACGGCGAATTATGCAGTGGTGGTGGCGCAATTGCATACCCAAGGTATTTGCCGAGGAATTCACCCGTTTATTGTTCAATTGAGAGATGAAGAAACACATGAACCACTACCTGGTAATAATTTTTTATTTTATCTGGTTAATTATAAATTATGAGATAAGAGTTTTTAACACTAGCAAGGAAATATAAATTTTTACAGGAATAAAGATTGGTGAAATAGGCACAAAGTTGGGAATGAATGCTACCAATAATGGATTTTTGGGCTTCGATAGGGTGAGAATACCTCGGGAAAACATGCTGATGAAAAACGCACAAGTCCTGGAAGATGGAACGTACGTGAAACCGGCGACAGACAAACTTACCTATGGGACGATGATGTTTGTCCGTGTATTATTGGTACGCGATACTGCGAGATTTTTGTCGAAAGCTGTTACTATCGCGATACGTTACAGCGCTGTGCGTAGACAGAGTCAAATAAAAGCAGAGTAAGTTTTAAACAATAAAATATTGATAGTTTAAATAATTATGAGAAAAAAAAATTTTGTCGCCGGAGTATTTTATATGACAAAATGGGTTTATTTAGTTTGGTACTATCAAAAAATTTTTGATGAATTTGTAATTTTTCAAGGTTTTATATTTTTTTCATCGATAGTTAATTTATCATGATAAATTTTCAGAGTAGTTATAAATGGATTTGAATTTCGTGCTAGATAAAATTTAGTTATTAGCTCTCAGTGATATTGACTAGCAACCTTGCAGTCACTATGTGACTGCCGTGACTTGTGAACTATAAATATAAAATTTTGCGCTATTAAATAATGACTTTTGTTAAATTGCACTGTACTTTTTTTACTATTGACGTTTTTAAACATATAAGCTTATCCCGAAGTTATACTCATCAAGAGCTTTCATTTGAGTACCCACATGCATTTTTGATATATTTTTCATATATACATATATATAATTTATATAAATATATGAAAAATTGATGTGGGTACTCAAATGAAAGGTCTCGATGAGTGTAACATCGGGATGAGCTTATATCTTTAAAAATGTCAATAGTTCACAAGATACAAGGTCGTTTCTTAATTATGTTAAATTGCACTGTACTATCTTAACTATTGGCATTTTTAAAGATATAAGCTCATCCCGATGTTACACTTATCAAGAGCTTTCATTTGAGTACCCACATGCATTTTTGATATATTTTTCATATATACATATATATAATATATATAAATATATGAAAAATTGATGTGGGTACTCAAATGAAAAGTCTTGATGAGTGTAACATCAGGATGAGCTTATATCTTTAAAAATGTCAATAGTTCACGAGATACAGCGTAATTTCTTAATTATGTATCTGGAGATAGATCATCTTCGAATGCAACCTAAATACTTATCATCATAAAGTGACTATTGGTGAGAATGATATGAAACCATGAAAAAGCATAACTCCAGATCAAGACTTTTCCAACGATACTAAATTTAATCATAAAAACCCATTTTATCATCTAAATACGCTGGCCACAAAATTTTGCTTATTCTCTTAATAATATAGATTATTAATAAATAATTTTTAAAATAGTGCAGGAGAGTGTCAAATAATAGATTTTGTAACGCAACAATACAAATTATTCCCCCATTTGGCGTCGTGTTTTTCATTTATGCTGTCTGCCGACTGGATATGGGAAATGTACAACAATGTATCTGCTGAATTACATCAAGGAGAGTTGGAAAGATTGCCTGAGGTAATTCAATAATATTATTAATAAATTTATAGCTTGTAAGTTATAGTTAGTAAGTGATAATTTAGATAATAAAGAAAAAATATTCCAGTTGCATGCACTGACGTGCTGCTTGAAAGCAGTCGCCTCATCAGATGCAGCTATGGGAGTCGAACAACTGCGTCTAGCTTGCGGTGGTCATGGATACATGGACGCAAGTAATTTACCCGGGACTTACAGTTTAGTAACGGCGATCTGTACCTACGAAGGCGAAAACACCGTTATGTTATTACAGACCGCGCGGTATCTGATAAAAGCTTGCAAGCAGGCGCTTGCTGGGGATCCGCTGACTCCTACTGTTAAATATCTATCCGTGTTGGCGAAAGGCGGTAAGCGACGACCATGGAAAAATACTCTGACTTGTATTATCATCGCTCATCAATCTGCTGCTGCTGGGTAGTTATTTTGTTATTCAAATTTTTTTAAATTGTAATAATTTTTTTATTTTTTTTTTTTTTTTTGTATAGAAAAATCCGTACAGCGACGGAAAATATTGACAGGAGAATACGCAAGGGTGAGAGTCCAGAAGATGCCTGGAATCATACGAGTATTGAACTAGTACAAGCCGCTGAGGCTCATTGTCGCGCATTTTTGGTATTAAGATTCGCTGAGTGGATCAAAAGCTTGACGAATATTTCCAAGGAGTTACATAATGTATTGAGAGAATTGTGTGAAATGTATGCTGTTTACTGGGTTTTACAACGACTTGGTGATTTTTTAAGAGTAAGTATTAATTATTGGTTCATTGAAAAAAAATTGAGTTGATTTAACAATAAGAAGAAAATTCTTGAATTAAGAAAATCACATTGAAGAGTTGCACAGTCTTGAATTGAAACAAAAAATTTCTGAAGCAAGTAAAATTTACTTAATTGAAAAAAAAAAAATTATTAATTCAAGAATTTTTCTTTTCAATCAAGTTAATTTTTTTGATTAAAAGTACTCATTGAAAAAAATTCGTTCTATGCAAATTCTATATCTATAGATATATACTGTGAAATTAAAATCAATTGAAACTCTTAAAAAAAATTTTAATCTCATGAAAGTGAATTTTTTTCAATGACCATTTTTAAAAAGAAGTTTTGAAATGAAAAAACAAATTCTGAAACAAGTAAAATTTACTCAAGTTAAAAAAACAATTCTTGATTGAAGAACTTTTCTTTTGAATCAAGTTAATTTTTTTTTTCAATGTACATTTATAATTTATTGATTAAATTTATATGTTTTTAATTTTTCTCAAAAGAAGATTTTTTCATAAAAGAAAATAGTTTAGTCTTTTAATAAAAAAAAAAATTGATATTAATATAAATTATTGATATTTTTAACTACACTGAAAAAAAAAATATTATTATTAAAAAAAAATTCTTTTACCTCAGAACATATATTCTCAATAATTATTGAAAATATATTTTCTTATCTGAAGAATTTGTCAATTTAATGGAAGTAATTTTTATTTAATTCAAGTAAAATTTGTTTATCTTTTATAATAGAAGAAAACATTTTATAAATCAGGCAGATATTGATATTTTCTCGTCAAAAAATTAACAAACTTAAATTATTTATAATAAAAAAAAATCTTAAGCTGAGAAATTCTTATCTAGACAATAATTTACATATGTAAAGTATATAATTTAATAAAATAAATAATTATTTTCAGTTTTCATGCTTGAAAGCAGAAGATGTACCGGCTCTCCAAAACCGCCTTGAAGAACTTTTCAAGTCAATAAGAATAAACGCCGTTGGTTTAGTCGACGCCTTCGACATCAGAGATGAAATATTAGACTCAGCTCTCGGCGCTTACGACGGCAACGTCTACGAAAGATTATTCACTGAAGCGATGAAGTCTCCTTTGAATCAAACCAGCGTCAACGAATCATTTCATTCCGATCTAAAGCCTTTTTTAAAAAGTAATTTATAAAAACTTATTACTTATTATGATTATAATTATCTACCCAAATACTCTATTTTTTATCGTGCCTTAATAATGGTGGAGAATGTTATTGATTAAAAAATAGATTTATAAAATGTTTTAATGTTTTCAATTATTACTATTACTAATATAAAATGTTGCTCAATTGTTTGAGGTTATAGTTTTTATAATTGTTTGATAATAATAAAAAAACATCCAATTAATAAAAATGATTTTTTATTAACATTATTCCATTATTTAACATTAATAATTGTACTCCAGTCCCGACATTTAAAGTAATTAATATTCTTACAATCAAACTTGGAATTTAATCGGACAAATTTATCCGTACTCGTAATTGATAATTGAGAGAGGCCTAGCTGGCCATACTTATTGGACCCACATCCCCAAAGTTGACCGTCATCTGTTTGGCAAATTGTAAAATTATTACCACATTCTACATCTGTTACATTGACATCAACCTTTTCTTCTTTTTCGTTGTAAAAATCTACTATGGTAGGAACCGCAATTACTTTCTCAGAACCAATTAACCCGAGTTCCCCGCTAGTATTCCAACCCCAAGTGTACAAATCCTTGTCTGAAGTAATAACGGCATTGTGCCACCCTCCAGCTGCTACTTTGACTGCCTTCAAACCAGCCAATGCTTCGATTAATAGAGGTTCATCAGAGTTTTCTAGATCATTGTGTCCCAATTGACCTCTGCTGCCCCCGCCAAATGAGTAAACTTCACCATTGTTCGTCAACACCAAGGTGTGTTCGAACCCGCAGACTATATCAGTATATTTTGAGTTGTTTCCAGCCGGCATTTCCAGAAGAATAGGAATATTATAAATTCTTCCGTAGTTTGTTAAGGCACAGATATTTTGATTTGTTCCATCGATTTTTAAAACTAACTCATCTTTAGCAGTGAAGTTATCTACTTTGTTCCATTCCTCGCTGTACAATTTGTACTGCCATATTTGATTGTCTGTTGAGATGAGGGTAATTGAGGATTTTCCAGCGAAAGCGCTAGAAAATTTTGTTGATGGGCTCGTAGGTATTGACAATTGTTTCTCATCACAGTTATTTGTGTATTTTTCGGATATAAATACTGAATTTTTCTTCCAAACTAGAAGATAATTCCAGCCGAGGGTTATGTTTGATAGGTTGTTGATTTTAACTTCACTGAAGTTGTCAATGATTGGACGATTATTGTCACTGGATGTAATTTTCGGACTCACATTGAACCCAGAGTAATAAAACATTGTTGAGGTTATGTTGGAAGGTTGACTGTAAAACGGAAAAAATTATAAAACAATTGCAATAATAGAGAAAGAAGAAATGTTTCGTGTGATGATATGAAGAAAATTACAGTAATTTATTTGAGAAACTTACATGTGTTGGGATGATTGGTCATGAAATCACGAATTATGGTAGATGATACTCTGATGATGTGTGTATTAGGCGAAAGAGAAACCAAGCGGCAGCTGAAGAAAACACTAGTAAGTCCTTGATTTAAAAAAATTTTAGTATTTAAGAATGAAGATGATAAAAGTTTAAAAAATTATTGCATTAATTTAAGGTAGTGCTGTATAAATACCACAAGTGATGAAAATTAAGTTAGCCGACACTTGAAAATTTTTGATATTTTTTGTTACATGTGAAAATTTTTATTTTAATTTTTTTGAAATTATTTTTCAACAAAATAAATTATAAAAATTTTTAAATGTCGGCTAATTTGATTTTCATCCACAAGTGTCCCGCTACACTGGAGGAATCCCGGAAAAAATATTAAAGTTATAAAAAATTCATATTATTTCATTAAAATTATTATAAAATAATAATAATAATAATATTTTTTTTTGTAACAAAAAATGGAACGATCATTCTGGGGGTGCTTGTTTTTCAGGAAAATTGTGAGTGTGATACAATTATTATTATTATAATTTTTATTTCATAATAATTTTAATGAAATAATGAGAATTTTTCATAACTTTAATATTTTTTCCAATTACCGTGTAGCGTAACCACTCAACTCAAGATTTTATCCCCAGGCTCACATAAGGTAAGAGACTCAGTTATTGATACTGGCCTGGTTGTTTGATGCAATTTCATTTAAATTAAAAAAATAAAATGTTCTCAAAAAACTAATTATCTTAAAATTTATAACTAAAAAATTATATTTATTAATTTATTAGAGTTGATTTTTTTTTTTTATCAAAATAAAATTTCAAGTTTCAATAACTGGGTTTTTTACCTTACTCGTTTATCTATGTTTAAAATTATATTTATTTGTAATTTAATTACTAAAAATAAAAACACAGGATATTAAATTTAATTTAAGTTTTATTCTTAATCTAAATATACAATAATATTTATTATTAAAATTAAGTTAAATTTTATTTAAAATAATTAATCAATTTTTTACATAATTTTTACATTATTACTACTACTACAATAACAATATTTTACAATGTTAAATTAATTTTCTATTCAATATAAATAATAAATGTACAACTAATAATAAGATCACACTTAAAATTTAAAAAAATCTAAACACCAAAAAAACTTATTTACATAATTAAAAAAAAAAAAATATTTACAAAATTAATAATATTTTGTTCGTTTCCTCGAAGAAGAGGGTGATCTTCTGTGTCCCTCAAAGGACCTGGAGCCTTTAGTCCTATGTTTCCGGTTCCCCTTCTCAGCATCCTTCTTTTGAAGATACCTCTCGAATTCATCAAGAGGATTTTCAACTACCTGCGTTTGTTGTTGGTAGTCGTTGTAGCCGTTGTATCCTGGATAACCATCTACCTCAGGGTAAGATGGTTCCCCTCCAAGATATGGCTGATACACAGGGTACCCATAATAACTGTTCTCATACCCCGAGCCTTGATAATCCGAAGATGAATTGTACCAAGCATTGTCGGAGGTGTTCGGGGTATAGCTATTTGATGAAAACCCGGTAGTACCCTGCGATGGTGATGATGATGATGGCGCTGGCGACGATGCTGATAACGAAGATGGTTCTAGTGGCAACGATGGCGGAGGCACAGATGATGATGTTGCTGGTGACTTCGATGATGGTATCGATAAAGGCGTTAATGATGGTGGATCTGATGATGACGATGTTAATGTTAATGGTGATGATGATGGTGACGATGAGGATGGAACTGGCGGTGACGAGGCCGTTGCTGATGATGGTGATGATGACGGCTGTTCCTTAAGCCCAGAGTAAACAGCGTACTTTCCCGTTGCGGTCAGCATTGCTCCTGGAACTTCGGGGCCCTCGACTTCTACCATCATCGTCTTCGGGATCCCTTTAGCTTTTTTTATTGAAGCCGGCTTCCCGTTGACGGTGAAAGTACATTGGTACACCCAATGACCAGGCTTATGGCAACGGCGGCAGACGTAAGAGGTAGGCACCGGTCCAATTTGTTTGACTGGCACCTTCAGCCACTTTGACGGTGCATAATCCGCCGTTGACATCTCCATCATCTTCTTGATTTTCTCCTCTTCAGTTCCTTCCATCTTCGTTAAGTCTATCTGTTTACGGTCGAGGGCAGCTGACTTCAACTCCTGTAACTGCTTCTCGAGTTGAGCTTCGCGGCGCTTCCACTCCAGCTTCCTCTTCCTCTCCTGTAGCTGGCTCTCTGGAATGATTCGGCGTTTGAGATGGATCACCGTGTTATGGCGCACAGTATCATCATCCTTGTATTCCTCTAGGGTCTCCGGATCCATCGCTATGAACTCCCAGTTCCGATCCTCACTAACACGCATTTGACGGATCACTTCCGTCTTGACATCCTCTATCGAGATAGAGAACTCATCAAAATACACGCGGTACACTTTTTCGAAATTATTTAACTGGCAATCCACATACATTTTTTGTTTTGTTTTTCTTCACAATTCACAAAACACAAATTAAAAAACGCAAGATTGCACTCTTAAAGCACTTCGAGATATATATATATATATTAAATATTCACACGTCTGGACAGAGCGAAGAATTTTTAAAAGTGATTCTTACTTTGTCAAAATTAGGCATATTTATTTGGTTACATATCCCCTCTCTTAAATGTAAGGCCCAATGAACGTTCATTAAATCAATTCTCCCAACTCCTACTCTAAGGGTCTAATGAAACTTTACCTGAATACGTCTCCGTTTCATTACTAATTACTAATTACTAATGACGCCAAGGAGACTTAGGTATTATTGTATGTAGTCCAGTAATTGTAAATCAACAGACAGTAAGCTTTTTCAATTGAATAGAACAATATAATGCAAATTAAAAGTGCTAGTCATCGTCGGAATAATTAAAATATTTTTCGAGTCACAAAGAAGATAAATCTAGAAAACTATTGACTTTACAGGCCATCCCTGCAACTTTCCGCTATGTACGAGTTCAAAACGCTCAGTAAATAATTTATTTTAAAATTTTGAGCTCTTTAAGCTCAAAAATACAACTCGTATACTTTTTCGAGCTCTTCGTACTCGAAAATGTAATGGTTGTATATACATACTTATTTGAAAATTTTAAATTGCAATATTTTCCAATCGAATCAATCATTTTTGAAGGGACTTGCAGCATTCGACGCAGTTTTTGAAGCAATAAACAATTATTCATTACCTACCAAATGATTCAAAGTAAAATTTTGAAGTTATGTTTATTTATTTATTTATTTATTAGAATAAACGCCAATCGGCGATGTACATAAATTATTTAGTACTTGATATTATTATAAATGATTTAATGGCTAGTAAATATAGTAAATATAGCTAGTTAAAAAAAAAAAAACTATTTTGGAATTTTTTTTGATTAAATATCTCTCGAACGATTTGACCGATTTTGATACGATTTACAGTTTATTATTTTTAGTATAAAGTCTTTAGAAATTTTTCTTCATAATATTTGTAGAAGTAGAGCAATCACAGAAATATTTTCAAAAATACTCGATATCTGAAAAATTGATTCATTTTTATATTATCTAATATAATTAAAAATCAAAAGCATTAAATTGTAATATCTTTTAAAGTGATAATTTATATAAAAGGACATTACAACAAGAGATAAGACTGTCTGGCAGAAAGATTTCTTAAAATTTACCATAATTATTAAACAATGAATTTAAAAATCCCATCATGAATTGTAGTATCCGTTACTAATTACTTATCGTATACCTGGCACTATGACGCCTAATGCCTGTCTCGTTCAAATAGCACTTCGCGACCCGAATTATCAATACAAAGTAATCAAGTAATAAATATTTTCAAAGTATTATGCGACCTCTTTTCGAAGAAAGAAACAAAAATCTATTATATTCATTCCACAGAATGAATGATTGAAAGAATCTAAGTTTTAAGGGTAAAAATAAACCCTATCGAGACTTACTCAATAATTACAGCGTAAAAATAAAAATCCTAATAAGTATTTAATAGTGAATTTAATTTGTTTTCAAATTATAAATTAGCAAAAAAAAAAATGTGAATTTCAAACTTAAAATGTTCGAAACTATTAATCTGATATGTAAAGTTTCTATAAACAAATTGTAGAGCTTGAAAAACGCTACGATTCCCTTTTTTTAAATCTCCGTTTAACCAATATAATATATTATTATTATTAGTTTTACACAAAATCAACGATGTCTAAACAAATTAATAAAAATCAAGAAAATTTGTGTGGTAAATTCGACAACTTTGAAAAAAATTAATTTTTTGTAGATATTGAGTGACTGTAAGTTAAACGAAATCGGAATTCGACCGAGCGCATAGTAGAAGATTTTTTTTTACGTTACACACAGTAAAAAATTTTGCGTTAAAAATTTTTATGTTAAACTAGAATTTAACTTACGCGCGCAAGCGCGCGCCTCATATTTGTTGTCATGATATATTTATGTGTCGTTTATGTATATTATATTCACTTTCAACCAATCAGAATGAGAATATTTATTTTTGACCAATCACATCACGAATAAATTGGTTTCATAAACATTTCATCTCAATTTTATTATGGGACTAGAATTTAATTTTCGCGCGCAAGTGCGCGCCTGACTATAGAGTTTACATATATTTTCATGCTTATGATATATTTAACCAATCACGTTACGAATAGTTTGATGCCACATACATTTCATCTCTATTTTATATTAGGACTAGAAGTTAATTTTCGCGCGCAAGCGCGCGTCTTGACTATAGAGTTTGCATATATTTTCATGCTTATGATATATTGGACCAATCATATCACAAATAGATTGGTTTCACATACATTTCATCTCAATTTTATTATGGGACTAGTATATGTTGCGCGCGCAAGCGCGCGTGTGAATGTTGGCATGGAATTATCTATATTTTCATGCTTATGATATGTTTGACCAATCACGTTACGAATAAAATGTCTTCATCAATGTATATTTTCATATTTTTCATCTAAATTATAAGAGTGGATATTTAACACTTTTGTATTGATTTAACATAATAAATGTTAAATTTACACTTAAAAGTGCTAAATATTTAATACAAAAATTTTTAACATCAAGTTTTTTGACGCAATGACGCAAAATTTTTTGCTGTGTATAACTTCAAAAGTTATAGCTATTGAAAAATTTCTAAATAATTGTTTTTTTTTTTATATAACTTTTGAATTTTTAAGCTCGTAGAGCTCTTTTCTTCAATAAAAAAAAAAATATAAAAATTTAATGATGCCGGCGAATTTAATTTTCATATATTTTTATATTGGTTCTCTTGAAGTTCTCTTTTAAAAATTTTAATGGACTTCATATCTTACTATAATTTACTAATATGTAAAAATTCATCAAATTTCAAACAGTAATTTTCTAATCAAGGATACTACCTTAAAGGAAATCAATAAAAAGTCATGAATAATTATTTTTTATACATTACAGTGTTTATTTACAGAAAAGGAGCGACCACATACAATAATTGTTATTCATACTAATTTAATATAGTGCAATTATTATTAATTCATTTCTTCTCCTTCATTTCATTCCTCTGTTTGTCGATAAATCAATTAATCAATAATAATCATAACATGTTTAACGTACAAGCGTCCTAGTACGAACGCGAAAGCATTGTTTTAGTCCCAACGAACTCCATTTCTTCTTTTTCATACTTTACTACTTTAAATTACTCTTTCTCATACAAATATAATATTTTTATCCTCTGGATCCTAGCTTCTGTTAGTTGAATTAGAAAAGTAATTGCTCAACGAGTTACAATCATGTTAGTTACATTACGCAGTAAATAAATCCATAGCTTCATTAACGGCAAATTATTCAATAATCAATAACTAATTATAGTAATTATTAATATTTTCAAAAATTTTATATTCATTATTTATAATAAATAAAAAATCATTACAGAAGTCAATAATATCTTCATTTTCGTGCGAATAAGTACATATACATGTATATATGTATTTACTTGTAATTTTTTTTTAAATATGATGTGCGATTGAGATAAATATATACATATATATGTAAATACTTGTTTTACCAAATTTTAGTACTTACATACAAAGAAAAACAATATCTAGGTTATTTATTATCAATACAAATTGTTAATTGTTAAATATGTAATTAATACGCAATCATAATTAATAATAATATTATTCGAAATTTTTTTATTTATTTTTCCACTTACTTCCTCGATTATTTAAATAATTATTTTCATTACTGTATATAAGTATTTAATGAATACATTCTCTTATAAAATATTTCATTACAATTATTTTTCTTTTAAAAAGTAGACAATTTCTTGTTTTTTTTTTTTTGTTTTTTTTTTTATCAATACATTTTGTTTTACCCAAGGACTTTTTATGGTTTAATGCGCCATGTGAATAACCAGCAAGTTATTGTTGTTAGCCATTTTTACGCGTATTTCCAAGATGGATCTGCCGGACATTAATTTTAAAACTATTCGATAACAATAACTTCAAAATGTTGTTAGTTTTTTAAAAATTTTATTAAAAGTAAAAATTTGATATATTTACTGTATTTTATTGATCAAAAATAAAAAAAAGAACAAAATAAATCTATAATATGCCCGTAATTTTATTAATTAAACCGTTACTCGATTAATTAACTTTTGTTTGTTCGCAGTTAATTTTAACCGGGATTAATTTTTGATAATTGCATTAAATGCTCACGCTTTGTGAATTTGTCATGGTTTACAAAGTAATTAACTTATTTTATAAAATCAATGGATGCTTAATTATAGCCAAAGTAATTAAGAGTACAATAAATAAATCAATTACAAAATTATTAATTCAATTGAATAAATGCTAAGCATCAGAGAGTTACTTTTTTTTTTTTATTTTTCAATTTGTTTTTGCTATTAAAAGTTTCAAAATGTTTTTATTACTCTTGACGAAATGCCGGATAATCTTAATTGTAGTATGGCAGTTTTAGTATGATATTAATCGTTTTCTTCCACCGTTTAATCACTTTATCTTATTCTTGCTCGAGTTCATTTCTTCTCATAAATCTATTATTTTATTTATATTTCAAATTTACTCTCTTTTACATGCTTTATATTTGTTATGTATTTATATATATGTATATACATATATTTCAATATGTATTTTGTAAAGTTTTTTTTATTTAGTTCATTTTTTTCTAATTTGTTTCATAGTTATCTTCATAAATTAAAAGAAAAAAATTTATTTATATTCCTCAATAAATAATTAAAAATTTTTTTGTCTTCAAATAGAGAAAAAAAATTCACTTAAATCAAGTAAATAATTCTGAAGAACTTCATCTTCTTGATTTGAGTAGAAAAATTTTTTATCTAACAAATTTTTCTTAGTTTAAATAAATTTTACTTAATTCAAGAATTTTTTGTCTTGATTTAATTTAATTTTTTTTTCTGTGAATTTATTTTTTTTCTAAATTTATTGACGTGTCATTTTTTTAATTATTGACAATAATTGATCGTTTATCCAATAAAAATTTGTTAATTTGTGAATATAACTTAAAAATTTGGATACTTTGTTACACTAGTCTTCACTGTGCAATATATTAAAAATTAAAAACTGAAATTTTAAATAAAAATTTGCAATTAAAAACTATAAAATAAAATAATGATCTAAATAAAACAAACTTTAGTATGTATATATAAATTTATAATTATTTATCATTTAAATATTTAAAATGTATCGATAATCTCGACTTATTGATCATAATATACCTGCAATCGTAAGAAAATGTCTCGAATTTACAAATAGCTGTGTTAATTTACTCGATTGATTAAATATTAAAATTCTACATAATAATAATAATTATATTAATAATAATTAGATATACAAAGTTTGAGAAAAGTCAAATGCCATGATGGACAAGTTTGCTTTTGTTGTTTTTATTATTATTTATTTAATTATTTAATCATTTATCTTTTGTTATTACCTAATTTATTTATATTTATCAATAATATATAATATTTATAATTATATTTATATATTTATATATATAGTTATTAATGAATTATTTTTTTGTTATTGAAAAAAAAGTGTTATTCATTAGTTGCCGGTTAATTGGACGATATATCAATTAATGACTAAGGAATGATTAACAATTGGTTAAAAAAAAAAAAAAAAAAAACAAACAAAGATCATGTATAAGCAAAAGAAATTAATAATAATAATTATTAATGCGTAATAAAAAAATAATGTATACAATATATTGTAATGTGAATAAATAATGCATTCGATTATTATAATAAATTATGGAATTACAAATTCCGGCGTAGATAATTTTTTTTATCAATTAATTAATTAGTTTTTATTCTTTATAATTAATTTAATCAGCATGCTCTCTTGTATTCGTCGTTCATTTCATACATTCTCTCTTACTAATTTTTTCTTTTAAATATAATAATATATGGCAAAAAATTGTATGTTTCAGTCAATCAAGACTTGTGTGCGCTACTTTTATTAACAAGGGGCACAATTGTGATTATTTACTTTTTTTTCATTATTTATTATTAATTAGTTTTTCTTTTATATTTCATTTCTTCATTAATCCATCACAAAATTTTACAGTGATCCCTTTTATAATATTATTTTTCAGTTACTTGTATTAATAATTTAACTGTGAATAAATTTTGTTTCAATATGGCAGACTAGGAATTTATTTTATTAACATTCAAACTCTTTAGAGGTTAAATTGATTGTTCGCGTGATTTTTTTTTTTAAGTTACAATTTAAAAACTTATTTATATATTTAAAAAACTAAATATAGTATTAATAAATGAGTATTAAGCATTAATAGCGAGTTAATTTATTAAAATTGAAACAATTTGTATGCTGGGTAATTACAACAAATTTGCTTTTGCTTGTTTGCGTAATAATGTAAATTATTAGCTACTTGTTCGTAATTAAATCAAGCACGCACTTGAAATATAAATTGATTTCCTATTTAGTTTATCTATACGCAATTAAATTCAGCTGCGTAATTAGTTAATGAAAAATTTTAAATCAGTACTCTTACAGTTTGTTCTAATTTTTAGGTTAGTAACAAACAATGTAACCAATTGTACAAATTAATTCATATTGTTTGCAGTTAACCTTTTTCATATTATTTTTTGAACACAAAAATAATTATTTGACAAATTATGATATGCAAATAATTGATAAAAAATTACATTGTTCGTTTCAAGGTTAGGTACCAACACTTTGTCTACAAGACAAAAATTTCCAGTCTGCCATTTTTTAACAAATTGATAAAATAAATTTTTGCAAGTAAAATAGTATTGCGAGAAATTAAATAATTATAATTATATTACGTCATTTATCGGATTGTTTCAGAGAGAAAAATCATGCCCAACATATTAATTAATGATAATTACGTACAAAAAATAGTTAAAAAAAAACATGATTCCAACAGAAACTTCAGAAAGAATCTGTGTTTAATTTCAATCTCTCAGTCTCGAGAAAAAATTAAAAAAAAATTACAATTAATCAGAGATTCAAGTTATTCTATAACCTCTCAATACTATACACACACGCACACAAATAGTACTATCACGCACACTTACGGACATTACAGATTTGCACACATACAGACAAACATGAGCTTAAATATGTTCTCACGTTTTTTACGTAAATGCATTTGGAATTTTTTTATGTCGGTCACGATGACGCAAACTGAAGAGTAAAAATGATGCATAAATTGTTTTTAGCCAAGTTAAAAAAATATCTATAGCGTAATAATAATTTCTCTGACAATTAATAATTATTTAGTACAAGATCAAAAGTAACGATGGAAGATTAAAAATTCGAAAGCGTTGCAATTGCTTGAGTCTTAGAAAAAAATCAATTTTCAAATTTAAAGTTGTGACATTAAAAGACTTTAAAAATTCCATCAGCAATTAATTGTTTGTTCGTCTCTTATTAGTTGATATTTTATTTTTTTTTTTTTTGTCATTTTTCACGCATTTTTATATTTTTTTTAAATTTACTTATTTATTTTCTAATTAAATCGTATCTTCTCACTCGGTCAAACGGTTATCATTGTTCAAGTAGAGCTTGGCACAAGGATTTCAAGCGTAAAATTCACGATTGTGATGTGGCGCTCCGGCCTTCGGATACGCCGCAGCTGCTGGTGATCTTCTTGGTTCGTCTAAGGCATATGAACCTTCGTCTTTTTTGCGCATTCTGTATACGATAAACATAACAACTAATATTGCGCATAATAATCCGACTACTGCTCCACCAATTACGGCTGAAATTAAAAAAAAAAAAGTTTATCATTAATCATTAGTTTCAATCAATAATATATTCAAATTTTTGTTAAAATTTATGCTGAGTATTGTTGATAATAATAAAATCTAAATGATAAAAATAACAAAAATTCCTAGGCGTAATATTTTTGGAACGATTAAATCACTGTTAGAATATTTTTATAAAGCTTAAATATTTTTTTCAGTTAATTTATACGATGTGAAACTAAAAATATATAAATTTCAAGCGGTCTTTAATCAAGTGACTTATTTATGAATAAAATTAAATGTAATTTATGATGTTAAAAATATTTCTTCTTGAGGATATTAATTGAAATGAATATTTTGTAATTTTAAATCAATTTGATGCCTTATAAATATTAATTTGTTGAATATATTATTCATTAAATATTAAATAATATTTATTTAAAGATGAAGTAAAACTATCGAAACTGCAGGAATCAAATTTAAAATAAATTCTCTAATCGGACTAACTTAAATATAATCAAAATTGATGAAAGAGTTTTGATTTTATCAATTAATATCCATAATTAAAATAAAATCTTAATTTAATATATCAAGAAATAATTAATAAATTAATTTTTATAAATAAAGTATCAACAGTGAATTCTTCTATTGATAACTTGCACTGCAATAACACTAATAGATAATCAGCGTAAAATTCAACTTAAACCCAAATTATTATTATTACTATATATTGTTATGTAATAGTTACCAGCAAGTACACCTGGCTGCGCAAAGAATGAACTAGTACGATCTTCGTGTTTGGGATTCATTATTAACACTTCGTGAGTGTCTTCAGTGTCTTCGTCTTGATCTGAATCTTCTTCACGGTCGACTTTGTCGTTGACGTTTACGTCGTTATTGTTATTTTCTTTGTTAATCTTCGGTGGTGCAAGGTCCTTTTGAAAATACAGTTTTTATTAGTCATCATCAATTCTTCAATATGTAAATAAATATATCAATAATAAAAAGTAGCATTACCTCAGAATCTTTTCCTGGACTCTGCACGTCTTCAACGTAAACTGGACGGTCCGATTTATCTGGTTTTGGCGGGGTGTCTAGTTTATTAGTGTCATGTTCTCGGAACGGATTATCTAAAAAATTATTATTATTATTATTATTATTATTATTATTATTATTATTATTATTATAGCAGCTGAGAATTGTTTAACCTATTGTGATTTTAATTATTATAATCAATTACTAGACAGTCTAAAAGAAGAAGACAGATTATTTATGTTTAAAAGATGTCTCAAAGAATTTATAACTGAGAAATTTTTCTTAAATTAATATGAATGTATATGTACAAGGGAAAATAACATTGTATATAGTATTGTAAAGTAGCTATCACTAACTAAATAAATACATTATTATATATTATTATTATTATTATTATTGTTAATCTCAATGAAGAATGTTTGGAAATTTTGCAAAAAATACAATTATGCAATGAAAGCGATATTGAGTCAGTAAATATACACCAATTAACCAAATATTGAAAGCGTTGTTTTATGGCAGTATGAGAGAGAATAAAGTATGTTGTATTTGTTTTTATATGTAACATTGAAAATAATTCGATGTCTGATTATTGGTTCACGACCGTCAAAAAACAAGAACATAATTAGAATACTGGAAATAAAAAGGAACTGGTAAAAAATAAAAAAGGACGACATCAGAAGAGAAAACAATTGATTCATACCGATGTGAAATTTTTAATCAATTAAATACAATTACTAAAGAAGAAAAATCAATGCCAATTTTTAAAAGACTATTGAAAATTGAAATTAAGAACAAAGTTATTTAATAAGTTTGTGCTATTAATTTTTTTTCCAAAGCGAAATGCATTTTTTTGATATTTATTATGAAATTATCATGTTCAATTTTTTAATAATAATCACAAATTTTTTATTGAAAATATTGAGTTCAATTTTTATTCATTAAAAAAAATTTTTTTTTTTATAAAACTGGTAATTAAAATATAAATAAAATAAATTAAAATGCAACTTTAAAAACTATCAAATATTATTTTGCTAAAATAACGATTAGATCATTGATTTAATTTAAAATAAAAGTAGTTATTAAAATAATGTACGGAGTATGTAATATTTGTAGTAAATGAATATAGATCAACATCGATGGGTCTACAAAGTATCAAAATATGAAGGGAGATTAAAGTAATATAATAAACATGAAATGGAAGTGATATGATACGAATACGTCCATCAAACTAATATTTGATCGTCATTGGATTTACAAGTGTCGATATGTATATGTATATGAATATGTGTATGTATGTATTTATTGTTTATTTATGGATATATATACTTTATATGAAAACAAAACAGCAAAATGAATTTCCGATAACTGTGAGTTAGTGGAGAGGCCTATGGGACATGAAACATGGAGCATGGATATAAAGATAGATAGTATAGAGAGATATGTAGGTATTGATATTGATATGAAATATTGAATGCTGACACTGTGTGATTTATTTATTTTGTTTCGACGTAATAAAAAAAATTTATTTATATATTTTTAATTTATCATTTTGTCAACTTCATTTTTGCGTATTCCCGCGATACTTTTGTTATTTATACTGTCATTGTCTGGTTAATCAATAATTATCAATTGTATCACCGATTGCTCTAAGCTCGCACTCAGTTAGTTATTTATTTCTTTATCAAATCAACCAATTACATATTTATTGCGGAATCAATAACAGCAGTGTAAGTATATTTGTTGAACTTGCTGTAATTGGTGATTGGGGCAGTCGGTTAGAAAATATCGGCTAAGGCAGAGATTGGATTGGGAAAAAAAATTAGAGAATACGTACGTGATGAACCATCTCCGTCCTCGTCGTCAGGACCATATCCACTTCCTGAGGCTTCTAAATCGTCTCTTACTTCACCGCGACCAGATCCTTCCAAGGCGTCCTGGTCGTCGAGGTAAAGGTCGTCAGGGGATGAATTGTATGTTGTGCTTCCTATCGACCGTTCTTTGCCGCTTGTGTCTTTCTGCAAATTTTAAAATTTATTTTGTTTAGTTAATGTTCGTAAATTTATAATTTTTGTATGAAAAAAAAAAGATTTATGGAAAATGATGGACAAATTTTTTCTCTAAAAATTTTTCAATAAAAAATTGAACAAAATTCTTTTTTATTATTTTTTTAAATTAAAAAAATAACTAAAAACGTATTTGGTGTATCTTTGTTAATAATATAAATTCGCTGAGAACAAAAAAAAAAAAAGTTTGTAAAATCCAAAAGCGCACAACTCATAATGCTTATTTAATTATGAAATAATAAAATAAAAGAATGTGAAAAAATAATATATAAAATAGCTGAATTTGGACCATAATACGCATCAGGTGCCCCTAGTGGAATAAATGTACACAATAGATATAGATGTATAGTCATTTGGTTTTTTTATATTATTAATTGCAAATAAAGGACACTGAGTTACCTAGCTATTCGCATTCGGTGACCTACACTTCATTCAAAGAATAAAAAAAAAAAAATTTTACTCAATTAATGGATTTTTTTACAAGTTACAGGAAAATTTTTTTTAACTATTTTGATGTTTTTTTCCGTTTCTATAGCACTTAATGTCGTACGGTTATAAAAGCAATATTTTAAGAAATCCTTAAAACCTCGAATATAAGTTATTAAATGCATAATACATATGCTGTTAAAATTTGAAGACGATTTACCGTACCTAATTTGAGATAATTGCAATTGAAAATGACATTTTTTGTACACGTAACATAGGAGAAGCGTAAGAAAATGGCAATATTTTTAATTTTTTTCATCGAAGGAATTTCACTACTCTATCGAAAAACTAGCAGATTGAAGAATATGATATTTCGAACAATTAAAAAAAATGAAAATCATTTACCGCATAATTTTCGAGATTAATTAAAATAAATTTCACTTTTAGAGGATTATTTTTAGAAGAGGGGGTACGAAAAACAGCCGCTAGTCACTGAAAGTAGTGTGTGTGTGTGTGTGTGTGTGTGTGTGTGTGTGTGTGTGTGTGTGTGTGTGTGTGTGTGTGTATAGAGAATATAGTAGTCGAGGAGTACAGTAACGTTAAAAAAAATTAATCTACAACCTTAGCTCTGTCGATACGTATAACATGGATAGTGAGTTAAAATTTTTTATCTGGACTGTCGCGGAGGTACTACCTTAATAAATTTTTGAAAAGTATGGAATTAATATCCATTAAATTATCTTCACAATAGTATACAACATATTTTGATTCCTTGAACTAACAAGGCTATGATAATAAAAATAGTTGCCGTAATGAGACGAAAACAATTTTCCCCTTAAAATTGTAAAGCACTTTCTGATGCTTGGCATCATGAGTCGTCCAAAAAATCTTGTATTTATTTTGATAATTTTTTAGGAATGATTTTACTTATTTTGGGTCATAAATCATAACACATTATTGAAAAATTTAATTATCGACAAATTTTTGAAATAAACATTTTATTTTTAGTCACTTTGAAGGATGTAAATTGATAAAGATTGTCTTTAAAAAAATTCTTCATACAAAACTAGAAACCAAATATAAATAATTGATAGCATTACAGTTTATCAAACCCAGCATATCTGAGTACCCTATAAAAAGAAAAAACCTTTAATGCATCAGACAATTGTCATTAAAACGTAATCAAGAAAATCGATCAACCGCTTGCAAAATTAAATTCAATTAATGGGAAGTAAAAAATTTTTTCTGCCCTCCGGCCGGAAAGTGGCAACTTTCTGGCCGCTGCGCTAAACAAAGTTGCCACATTCCGGCTACGTCGAGCAGAAAAATAGTATACACACCTTGGCCAGTAAAAAGTAAAGCCTCAGACCACATGTTTGTCAACCTCGGCTTCGCCTCGGCCAACAATTACATGTGGTCTGAGACTTTTCTTATTTTACTGGCCTAGGTATGTAATATACTATGTCTGCCATATATCTCAGTAATTTTTCAATCCATTTTACTAGATTAAAAATATAAAACTGGAGCTAGAATAAAAGTTTAATGACAGTGGAACAAGTGTAAGCGTAAGGTTTAGAGTTTATAGGTAATTCATGTTATTTTTTATGATACGGGTGTAAAAATGGCAATTTGTTAAGGCACTGAGGATATTGGCACACCGTGTTAAAACACAATGCCAAGCTCGTATATACCTTAGGTACAAGTAGTACAATGATAATGATACATCGATGTATGTGCTAGTCTATATATATATATATATATATATATATATATATATATATATATATATATATATATATAAGCTACGGTCCATAATAGCAAACATCCAAGCAAGTGTATACTGCATACAGTATTTCCTCACCGTAATTCTCCAGTATGTGAGTATGTGACATAGAAAACAATGCAATATGGATAAGAGCTCTCTTGGCAACTTTGCTAGTCAAGCAATAAAAATATTTAAATCTTATACATTTTAACCTAAAATTTTATTTTTATTTATTGTTCATAATATTATCAAACTATTTAGATTTTATTGCCGTGTTTAAATTTTTATATAATTTTAATAGGTATATACTTATCGCTGTAATTATTACAGATAATTTTTTATAAGTCTATTCTTTTTTCTATAGGTAGTATTTCATAAATTATCAAAAAAATTTTTTTGTGAATCAGGTGAAATATCCTAAACTTTATTGATATATTTTACATAAAATTTTAGTAGATTAGAATTTTTTTCAATATACACAGTAAAAAATTTTACGTCAATACGTCAAAAAATTTTGTGTTAAAAATTTTTATGTTAAATATTAAACACTTTTTTGTGTTAATTTAACACAATAAATGTTAAATTTACACATAAAAGTGTTAAATATTTAACATAAAAATTTTGATTAGGATCGTCAGGCAAAAAAAAACAAAATGCATAGTAAATATTGTTCTTCTTTTGATTGGATAAAAATTAAATAAAATATTGATATCTGACACTGATTTTTAATTGCAAAAAATAAATTATAGTTTACAAAACTAAAAAGAACGCTTTTATAAAAAATCAAACTATAGAATAAAAAACAATTTCTAATGATTTTCAATGAGCTTGAAATTAAAATAGAGTCATCAACAAAAAAGTTCATTTTGTTAAAAAAAAAAAGCGAGGGGTGCTTTTTACGATATTTCTGCAATAACTTTATTTTTAATTTTTATATAATAAAATGAATTTTTTTTAATCACTTGATTCTTGCTATAAACTTATCGAAAATCATTCAAAATAATTTTCTACTATTTAGTTAAATTTTTTTTCAAACTATAAATTATCTCTAAATAAATCCCAGATATTTTTACATGGTCATTAGTTTGTCAAATAAAAATACCTCATAAAGTAGGTAAAAATAAAACATTTTCAAATTTTGACAATAATTTTCTCAATTGAATGAATAATAGTTCTTAATACTAAAACACATAAATCACTGCATCAATTTACGATGAAAGTAAAATGATAACTATTATCATTAATCATTATATTAAAACAAAAGTTTTTCCCTATAAGCCTCCCAGGTCACTAAATAAGAAAAATTGTTTCACTATCGCAGTCTTTGAGTAACAATTCAACCCTCATTTTTCACACTTAAGTATTTTTTGTTACTTATAATTTATTATAATAATTAAAAAATTTTTTTATTTATAATGCAACTGTGATTATTATTATCATAAAATTAAAAAAAAAATTTCCTAGCGCAGAAAATGAGACTGATTCTAATTACAAAATAAAATCTGGCGATAATTACCGTTGACGTTAAATTGCACCAGTGTAAACAGAGTAAAAATAGAGAAAATTGCGCAATGAGGATGTGGTAAGTGGTAATAGCCACGAAAAAATAAAGAGCATGCTAATGACGTTGATCTCAACACGGGTAATTGTAAACTGTTATTACACTGATAAATAATTATTTTGCCAAATGTTAATATTGATTTTCGCATCTAAGACTTGAAATTAAATATCATGGATAAAATTAGCAAGATTTTTGTAAATGCGCTTGCGTAAATATTGACCTAATAAAACAATAATATAATTTATATATTTGATCTGGATATTTTTTCAAGTTTTTCTGATGCCCGAATTTTATAATTTAAATTTCACCAATTAATTTCTAGTTTTTTTGCAAAAAAAAATTAAATCACAAAATTGAAGATTTACGAAGACTAAAAAGTGTAAATTAATAAGTTTTATATAAAGTAAATAATTTATAATTTTAGATTGGATTGCGAGGTCTCTTACCTCTGTCAACACATATGGAGCTTGGTTCTTAAAATGTAGAGCAGGATTAATCCGTTGTCAGTCGCAATAAATGAACTGAAGATATTTACAAGTTCGGGCACTGGCTAATGAGAGTTAAAAGTACTTGACGTTTGATTAACTTGGAGAACAACAAGTAAAACAAACGTGAGAAATATCTTACAAGATGTTACGCGCTTTTAGGCCAAGGGGTAACTATACGCGACTAGTACGAGCTTCAGCCGCGAGGCAGCAGCACATTTGCTCGGTTTTTCAACCCCTACTCTGTTGTTCCATTCGTCCAGGAGCTCCTGCAGGGGCGTCGGAAATCCGGGCGCAACCTATTTATTTTTATTTCCATGCCAATCAATCTCAAAAAAAGGAAACGAAAAATTAGCAATAGGAAAAACTTTTTTTCAACATTTTTTGTTAGTTTTAATATTTCCTGCTCATTTATCGAACCTTTTTCCAGGACTGCTTTTTTAGTTTTTCTGTTTTTTTTAACTTCGCGTTAATTTGTTATCTATACTTAATTGGCTGGGAAAAAGGTCTGTACAATTATTTGGTTAGTTAATTTGTAAATGTTGTTTAAAAAAAAAATAATAACAAAAACCAGATTTTGTAGAACTAATTTAAAAAAAAAAATATTTTTTTTTAATGAAAATTTTCAAAATAATCATAATAATATTCGCAACATTAGCTGGAGCTTAAATTTTAATTATTCGTGACTATTGACAAAAGAGATAATTACTAATGTAATAGACGATGACTCAATAGATATTTAAATATTCAGAACAATTTTGACTCTAGTTTGCTCAAAGACATTATGAATGTAAGCAATAAATTAAAAAAAAATTTTTTTCTAATTTTTAATTCATACATCCCGCTCAAAATATTTTATTTAATGAAATCATATAGATAATATTAAAATAAATTAAAATGGATATTTGATTTTATTTGCTAAATTAATTGAACTAAAGTACTATCTAACAGTTTAGCACATGAAATCCTTCCATTTGATTTGAATAGAATCAGTCAATCGTAATTGATTTGAATCAAGAATCACTATCCGATTCACTACTTCCCTTTTCGTTGGTGTACATTTTAAATTGATTTCGCAAAAGTCATATTTGGATTGTAATTTATATTTCTATGAATTTTCCCGCTTTCTCTTATTTTATCTTAACACAATATTAATTTTCTTAAATTTATTTTTCCTAAAATAAACGTTGTTTTGAGGCAAAAAATATTTTCGCAGGAAATTGACACCAATAGCCAACAGAAATTAGTGAATTTTGTAAAACTAATTAGACATCACTCGGAAAATTATGATTTTGGTAAATTTCGATACCATACTGATTAGTTAAGAATTTTAACAAGTATCTGACGGCGGATTTAATTTATTTATAAATTGTAAGCAAACAAAAAAATGTAAATTTAGAAATAAAAATCTCCGAAACTATTAATCTAATCTGTAAAGTTTCTGCAACCAAATTGAAGAGCTTAAAAAAGCTAAAATTCCTTTTTTTTAATCCCTGCCCAACCATTAGATAGATTATTAGTTATAAACAGTTGAAGTTTTAGAAATCGTGTAAAATTAGGCATATTTATTTGGTTACATCTTCTCCGTTAAATGTAAAATGTATTGTAATCTATACTAAGGTTAAGAATAAAACTAAGATTAAATTTATTATCCTGTGTGTTTTTATTATTAGCAATTAAATTATAGATAGATATAATTTTAAACACATAGAAATGAGTATGGAAGCCTCAGAGATAAAATGCTAAGAGTAGAGCGGTTACGTTACACTGGGGCTCCTATACTATACTCGTTGAGAACAACTACCGAGTTCCCCTTTTACCACGTGCTCGATCAAAAATCCGCTTTTTGGTTGTGAAAAATCGAATTTTTGAGATGAGCACCTTACAAAAGCTTAAAATATTCGTTTCAATGTTTATTATTATTATTATTATTATTCGAAATGCTTTCTTTAGTTTAATATAAATATATTAAAGGTTTTATGCATAAAATCATAATAAAACTCGATTTTAAAACTGAGTGACTTTGTATCTTATTATCCCCTTTATACATACATTCATAACAGTATCTTTTGATAAATTGTCTTCCAAGTTTCTTAACGAACAAAAGGAGTTAGTTAGAAGTTATAAATGTAGAGTTGATTATTAAAGCTGTGTAAAATATTTCAGTCAATTAAAATTTAAATATTGTAAAACTAACACTAAAAGCGCCCGTATATATACATACTTTAAATTTAAGTCGTTAAAAGTTTAACTCATTCACATACAAGTCGTAAAAAATTTTTATTTTATATTCACACATATGAATATATATTATATCTACATTATGTTTTCATTTTTTATTTTATGTCTAGTGTCGCATACGGTGCATATTACTTATCTATATATGTATACATATTTGATGGTAAACCAAGAGATAATTTTTTTTAGCACTCAATTTTTTTTTCAGCCTGTAACTATTGTAAATTCGTTTTTTTTTTTTTTTTTTTTTAGTTTTTGTAACCCTTCTTATTCAAGATCTCAAGTATTTTTAAGGGCTGAAACAACACACGAGTCGGGGATAAAAAGCAACACTTGGCCTTAATAAAGCTTCGATATTTTTTTTCACCGTTAATACTTTTTTTTTTCTCAACATTTTCTGATGTTATCTTTGTGATTACAATAAATTGATTATTATTATTTTTCAAGTATATATTATAAAAAAAGTAAATAATTTAAAGCATATTGATTTGACTGTTAATTACAAAATTATTATACAAATGCAAAAAGTCACTAAACAAATCGTTTAAACTTTTTAGGCGTGGTAAATAAAATTGCGATGAAAATATTCATGCAAATTTTTGATGATTATTCTTTAAGTTTAATTTTGCTCTCGAAGAGTTTGCCGTGAGAATGAATTGATTTAAATGCTAATTTGTTAGTTTGTTTTGGTTTTTTTTACCTCTTTACTCACAAGAACAAGTAATAAAATAGAGCACGAGGATGGATGCATACCTTGGACGCAACGCCCAAGAACACGTCTGAAGATCATTCAAAAATATCAAACCAATTAAAAATTACAATTACAAATAAGTAACTCCAGTT